AGGTGAGGCCGGACCAAAGCAGAATAGAGTGGCACTATGACTTCTATGGTTGAGGAGGACATAACTAAATAGAGAGCCAGTGTGGCATAGTGGTTTGAGTGCTGGACTATGACTCTGGGGACCTGGATTTGATTCCCAGCTTGGCCATGAAAGCCACTGGGTGACCTTGGGCAAGTCACACTCTCTCGGCCTCAAGGGAAGGCAATGGCAAGCCTCCTCTGAACCAATCTTGCCAAGAAAACCCCAAGTATGAAACGACTTGAAAGCACACAACACACATAATAAAATGCGGTATATGTAATACAGTGGGAAATAAACCCTAGGAAATGAATGTATCTTTCTAGGAGTGTTTTTAGCTTTTCTATGGGAATGTCCTATATTTGGTGATGCCTTCTTTGTGGTTAGGATACTGGGTCACCCTGGCTGGGTGGGAGTCTGGGGGCCACTCCAGGGGTCTTTGGAGGGCTCCAGCAGGGACCCCCTCCCTGCAATTCCCCACCAGTAGTCCCATCATCCCCAACCTCTCCTCCCTTTGGCCCAGCTGAGCCAGAGAAGAGGAAAGTGGGCTCTGGGGCCTTGCAGCATCCCCTGAGCTCTTATTTGGGGAGGCAGCCCAAGCAGGGTGACCACGTGTCCTCCTTTTCCCGGACATGCCCACCATCTCCACCTTTTGCCAAGGAGGAATGTCAAAAGGTCCTCCATTTAGAGCAGGAATAGGAAACAGAGATTTACATATTTAAGAGTGTTTTGAGGTTTTCTTTGGGCACATCCTCCATTTATTTGGAAAAGAGCCTACACTTTGTGGTGCCTGGTCCTCAGGGTGATTGGACGTCCTCCTCCTTTCCCAAGACCATGTCCTCCATTTCAACCTTCTGCCTAGGAGGGATGTCCAAAAGGTCCTCCATTTGGAGCAGGACTGAGGAGCTTGGATTTATATTTCTATTCTAAGGTGCTTTGACCTTTGTATTTGCTCGCCTCTTCAATTTTTCTCTGGCAGGTGGGAGTCTTCATGGGGATCACTTCAGGGGACCTTAAGAGGGATCCATCAGGGACACCACCACCCCATTCCACACTTGCAGCCCCATCATCCCCACCCTCATTTCTCTCTGGACCGTCCTCCATTTTGCAATGCTTTCATCTTCCTTTGCCCTTAGGACCTGGGC